GACTTGATTCTTGTTATGAAATAACATATTATTAAAAGAGGGATTTCTTACATGTATCTTTTGGTAAGAGTGCTTATTTTCATTCTTATTTTCTTTCGTTCTTTGCATGTTGTGTTTTTTGTGGTTCTTTTCTGCCCTTTTTTTCTGTGCATCAAATACAGGTTTGGGCGTGACCTTCCGTGATGTGTTGTGTTGGATATATGGCTGTTGAACAGGGCCGGGAAGCTCTTTGTTCTCTATGTGGTGCGTACGTTCGAATAATAACGGCCCAACGCCATACCGTACTGGCCACGGAGCGGGGCTTGGAGGGCTACCCCGCTCCTTTGTGGTGCAGTTTTGCGTTATCCGATTAGTGGCCTTAATGAGAATAGACGCAGTGGATTGAATAGGCAAGGGTTGAGCGTGCTATAACGCAACAATGGCCCACCTGTCTGCTCCCTCCAAGCGAGGAACAGGTTCTACAAGTGGGTTCGCCACACTCCGCCACTTCTACCATGGGCGAGTCAGTGATTCAGCATGGTGCTCAGCCTCCCGTTGCTTCGAACGATGATGCCCCTTCTGGACTGCTACGCCACCAGGACTTCTGTCCGCCACACTCCATCTGCAGCTCTAGCCTGCAGATTGACTTCGGTCATGAAGCCACTGATCCTGACCTGGGCCGCTCCTCTCAGGAGATGACCGACACTCGGGGAACCCCGCCCAGTCCTTCCTCCAGCCGTCCCAGCCTCTGGCTCCCCTATACCGTTGAAGGCTAAGGAATGCAAGGCCAAGAGATCTTTTGGCTTCTTCTTCCTCATCCAAGGCTGTGAAGAAACGCCGCTTCGATTGGGATCCATCCCCGATGATGACGACCCTCCAGTCTGTCTCGGAGGCCTTTACCTTTCTCGCCCGCAAGATAGACAATGCGACAAAGGCACCCAACCCGAATCCCCTCCCGGCTGTCTCTCCTACTTCACAAGGGACATTCTCAGACGCTAAAGTGGTCTCTGTTGTCCTGCCAGATCCGTTCCCCCAGCGGGACCCAGCTCCAGATCATGTCTCAGATCATGGTGGCTCTGTCCCTTGTCATTGCAATTAGGGCGAGTAAACTTTAATACTCCCCTGTTAGCTTGGTCTGGGCATGACATTAACCCCCAGTTCCCGTGATATGAATTCCTCTGGCGGTCTCCCTACTACTAGCATCTACCATGGAAGATGTGTATTCATTGTACAGCGCGCCAGTCTGCACACCGGGACTGCCCCATGCTTCCCGTTCAAGCTACAACTACCACCAGATGCCCTGGACTACGGCTGTCAGATGAACTTCTCAGCGGTTCACTTAGGCATGACTTGGAAGTTATGGCGCCTTGGGCTGATGACGGCCCGTTGTTTTCGGGGGCGGTCAATTCAGAGGCACTGCTTACATGTACCTATGTGGGCTCTTCTTTGACCACTTTTCAGGCTACAGAACTGAATTACTGCCATAGTTCTAGAATGCCACTCATCACTGTGGCTTCTGGTTACCGGCTAGGGCTATCTGACCAGGGTGCTTCCATCTTTTCTGGTGGTTTGGCGCACTTTGACCTATCCGACCTGCATTCCAGACATGCCACTGATGTTCCTGGCTCGTAGGTTCTTTCTTGGGGTTCTACGACCGGATTACCTCACATAAGAAGCATAAATGCAAGAAATTCCACTCTACACCTGGCCAAGATATTTCTTCATCGGGTTTGATGATTGGGGTCTGCTCTCCCGGAGATGCTGTCCACCTTAGCCAACCACCTTGAGTCAATCTCCACGCCCCTAGTGACTGCCCTAGATCCGGATACCCTGCTTGGGGATTTCCTTCCTGATTCTCACCCGGATTTGTAGCCAGCTCTGCCTCTGGCTCCAGATTCAGGTTTATCTCCGGCTTCACATCCGGCTCCGTCAGTCTGTCTAATACACGACGGTGCCCATTTACACATGTACTTTTTAAATTAAATTTGCTCTCACTGAATTCATTCAATAGTAATAACAACTTAACCGGGTTTGTTCTAGGTGGAAAGGCCTGAGGTAGCACCATGTAAAGGGATATATATCTCTTTGTGAATATGTGCGGTTCTGAAAAGAACCGGCAGCATACTCAACTTTTGCGACCGACTGCGTTCTCAGTCCGTCACCATGAATAGCCTGAAATTCTATTTAACCCAGTTCTGTTAATGACTCAAATCTTGCTCTACCCCTATGCCACTGCCTTGATCTGTCCAGTTTTTGGGGCATCTGGGCGTGCATGCAGGAACTACCTGCAGACCCATCGAGCCCTCTGATGTTGGAAAGTTTGTCATCGGAGGCATTCAGGCATGTAACAGTCAACTGCAATCTCCAGACGGCCCCCCTCTCGAGCTCTGACCGATGATCACGCCATTTAATCCAGCACCCACGCCTCGACCGCCCTTATTCGCCGACTTTCCATATAATCTCCTACTCGGCCTGGCCATGCCTCACACTGCCTACCGGACGTGAGTTCTTCTGGAGTGAGCGTGTCCAAAATTTATACACTGTGACTGTTATGAGGTCTGACAAAAGTGTGTCTGCTGTCCACGCTTGCTTAATGGATTGCCATGGTTGCCTTTTGTGACTGCACGTAGCGTAATCGAAACGAAAAGGCAGCCTTTGCAAGTATTTGTTGATTCTACGTTTTTATCTACTCGCGATCTCTTTTCCAGCGGGTGAATGGAAATGTTTCAGCGCTTTGATGTACGTCGAAAGTACTTGCTTATGGAGGGGTTTTCAATCTTTGGTCTCTCCTTACCTGCAAGTTTTGTAGTTTTGCAGTACATATGGAATGATCTTAGTTCCCCGTGCCTGTAATGATATGGTCGTAGTCCTCCAACTTCAAGATACAAGTGGCCGCATCGAACAATGTAACAGGGCTCACTTTTCTGTCCTTATTATGAATACTTCAGCATCTATTTACAGGTGGGCTCTTCCACTCCATGCCTCCGGGGTCTGGGACACCGCCTCTCAAGACAAACACGGCAACAAGTTAGAGATCCAAGCCATATTTAATGCTCTTCACCACTTTCGACTACAGCTAATGGTTTGTTCCTTTTGAGTCCAGAGCGACAACTTCACGGCTGTGATGTACATCAATTGCCAGGGCAGCACTTGCTCCTCTAAACGCTGTGCCCTTGTGTGGCATCTCTTCATGTGGACAAACGAACAAGAGATCACTCTCCAAGCCATCCACATAGCAGGAACCAACTACAGCATAGCAGTCACACTCTCTCGGGTTGCTGTCCGACCAACAGGGTGGATTCTTTACCCAAATGTGGTAAGCCATATCTTAGGCCTCCAGATTGCCACCATCCGCAATTTCCAGTCGGCCTTGGCAGCTATTCATTCAGGCTTCAGCAATAGATTGACGGTCTGTGATAACGCTGCCATCCACAATCTTCATCGAGGAATGTTTGTTGAGCATCCTCATGTCAAACGCCTCATTCTATCCTGGGACCTTGGAAACATCCCATGCCTTCTTGCTGGTCCTCCCTTTGAGCTGCTTTCTGATGCATCTAATCTCCATCTCAGCATCAACTGGTGTTCCTCCTTGTGGTCTTTACATCAAAACACGGTAGCGATGGCATGCTCTATCGATGGCTGAAGGTCACATCCGCTGGGAGCCACATTGGGTTTGCCTTATCCCAGCCATCAAGTTTTTTGACAAAAAACCAGATGCCTACCTTCTGGCCTCTCGACATATTCATTCTTGACAAGATATGGTGTCCAGTCTTCACCCTCAAGTGGTACCTTGCTAGAATCAAGCATTGCCTAGAGTCTAGCTCTCGCCTCTTCGTCACTGCGACGAAACTCTTCCATTCAGCATCAAAAGACACTATTGCCCGATGGACGGTCTTGGCCATCATCTTCGTGAACCGACACTGGCCGACACAACATGACGAGATGACCTGATCTCACGTCAGGGCCCTCGATATTTGGGCCGCTTCCGTGTCCTGGTCATACTTCAGAGGAGTTCCTCTGGCGGAAATCTGCCAGACGGCTTGCTGGAGATCCCTCTCCACCTTCACCGAGTGCTAGCACTAGCTCCCATCACAGGGCTGGGCAGGGGTATGTGAATGTAGGAGACCCCTCCCCCACAGAAATGTGGGTCGGGTCTCCTAGTGATACTTACCCCTGCTCAGCCGCTCCCGCCCGTCCTTCCCCACTTTGGCTCCAGGGTTTTTCTCCACTTTGAAAAGAAGGACGAATATGGCGGAGGGATCACAGTGCATTGTGGAAGGTCAAGGGGCAACATGCATAATCAAGTCTATTCAGCGAATTGTAACAGGCACATGGGAAATTTGCATGAGTAGGCTGGGCAGGGGTGAGTATTACTAGGAGACCCGACCCACACTTTTGTGGGGAGGAGTTTGGCAATTGTTTTGATTGGAAACAAAACAAATTGGCAGGACACAATGTTTTCTTCCCCAAGGACAGCGATGGTCAAGGACTAACTGACCAGGAAATCTACAACGAAGTGGACACGTTCATGTTTGAAGGGCACGACACGACAGCATCAGGCCTGTCCTGGTTCCTGTATGACATGGCCCAGCTACCAGAATTCCAGCAGAAGTGCCAAGAGGAAATTGATGACCTCCTAGCGCACAGAGAAGATGACCGACTGAAATGGTAAGTAAAGCTTGGCTGGTGGTGTTTTGACAAGAATATGTTGTTTTGTACAACACCTGAATGAATGCCAGTAATCTGAATGGAGGGTTTGTCAGTCAAGTGCCATTTACCAGGCCTTCTGCCTACAAGGCTTCGTAAGTGCAGATTTTACCAACCTTGTTAACTATAGCCCTGCCTTCACTGGACTTTTTATTTAGTCCAGTGTGGACATCCCAGGAATTTTATCTCTTGGTTACTTTTACTTAGCCATGTTATCAGCAAACTTCTGCCTGGGAAAAGCTCCCGAGTCATCTTCCCGAGATGGAAAGTCTAGTGCCGACAGCACAAGTCAGTAAAAGCAAGGGGAAGTGGCCAAGTAGAGTGTTTATGTACAGTGTACATCCAATCCTACAACAGCAGCATGCTTCATACAGGGAAATTATGCATGCACGTTGCAGGCTTCACCTCATTGTGGCATGTGGTGAATATTTCTAGTATAATTTGTTCCTCTCCTAGTCCCAGTTGTGGCAAGGTCATGCATAAGTCATAAGTCACTGCACTGACAACTCGGTTGCCCCCATCTATTCTCGGTGAAAGTTTCCTGTGTCGAAAGTTCAAGTGCAGAGAGTTGTCACATAAAATAAAATGGCAACTTTTATGCAAACAGGATTTACTCAAACACTTCAAGAAACAAATCATGAATGTTTTCCATTTATGCAGCGGAAAGAATGTGGTCTTCTGCTTTCAACCCACCCCAAACAGTCGCTAAATATGCAAATTCCTTTGCGTCTGATTCAATTTGCTAAAACTTCTGATCAACCGTAGTGCTCCCTCTAGTGCTATGATGCATAGTGGAGTGACCGCCATGTTCATCCTTCTTTTCCTTCGCAGTCAACGATAGTGCAGAGTGGCACTGCTGCAGTGCAGTGCCACTGCACTCGGGGTTGAAATTTCCCCCACTTGCATTCCGAACGGGTGACGTGGACTGACAACAAGCTGCCGTGGGAAACACCCGACATTGGCATGGCTCACAAGTCTAAGCGCTGGAGTGGCCCCATGTCGCCAACATCAACAGGCGTTGACTGCTGGCTCTACAACCAGTTCTCCCACACGCAAGAAACGCAAACATTCTTCTTCTTTTTCCGGGTCTAAGCATAAGAAGTCTCACTCCTCACAGAAGGAGGACACTTTGGCCGACATCATGTCAGCGGTCTGCATGCTCTCGGAGAAGCTCTCTTATATAGCCAGCCATCTTGAGCCCAGTCCTGATCCCACAGAGATGATTCCAGATCAGGACCCTTTGCCGGCGGAACATAATTCGCGACCAGATCTGCATCAACATCCGGATCCACATCCACATCCGAACCTGCATTCATCGGCGATACGATCTTCATATGATAGTTTCGTCCCTTCAACTTACCCAGGTTCTGGCGCCTTCGGCTCCGGTCCCTGGCCACCCAATAAGACATGAAGATGCTCCTCCTTCCTTGGATCAACTCCGGATGGAACAGTTCCCAAATCTCAAGCAAACAAGGGTTTCATTTCAATGTTCTTCCTCACTCCAAAGAAGGAATTCAACAGCTGGCGACCTATTATCAACCTCAAAATTCTGAACCACTTTATCCGCCCGAAGAAATTCTGCATGGAGACCCTTCAGACGGTCACCCAATTTCTACAGATTCCATGCTGGGCCTCTTCCATAGACTTGAAAGAGGCCAACCTCCTCATTCCGATTCACCCACAAAGCTATGAATACCTACGCTTCTGATACAATGGGAACCTCTTCGAATTTACGGCTCTCCCTTTCGGCCTCTGTACTTCACCGAGAGTGTTCTCGAGGATTGCAAAGATCGTCGCTGCTCACCTTCGAAAGTGGGACATCATGATGTTCCAGTACCTGGATGACTGGCTGATCATCGGCAGATCTTTTAATGAAGCAGAGGTTTCTACCCGCCTTACTTGAGACATCACAAATCGCGTGGGCTTCATCATCAGCCACAGGAAGTCGAATCTCAGCCCCATGCATTATCTGACGTATCTAGGGGCATCTATTGACCTCCAACGAGGTATAATCTCACCAACGACTGAACGCATTGACAATCTTCTTGACTGCGTGAAAGTCTTTTCTACTGAGCATTCTGCTCTGGCCCACACCTGGCTTTGTTTCCTCTTCTTGATGGCCAGCATGGTGGATCTCATCCCCCTCTGCAGGCTGTACATGCGCCCACTACAACTTCATCTCTTAGCACTCTACAGGCCAAAATAGGACTGAATCAATCTCCAGATCCCCATATCAGACTTCACCCGCCTCTATCTTCAGTGGTGGTTAGTGAAGGAACACCTCTCTCTCAGAGTTCCCTTCCCTAAGATGAACCCAGAAAAAAATATAACCTCGGACACTTCTCCTCTGGGCTGGGGAGCCTCCCTACTGCTGCTTCAACCATCGGGAACATGGGACCTCCAGTTCCATGGGAGTCACATCAATATACTGGAACTTCAGGCCGTATTCAACTCACTGAAAGCTTTCCACCCGAGCATCATAGGCAAATGAGTCCTCGTCTGCTCAGACAACTCCACAGTGGTGCCATACATCAATCGCCAGGGAGGCACACGTTCTCCCTAGCTATGCCTCCTGACAAGACAGATATTCCATTGGGCCCATGATTATGGCATTGACCTCCAGGCGACTCACATTCCTGGTGTCGACAACTCCATAGCAGATGCTGTCTCTCTGGGAAAGTTTCGTCCCATGGAGTGGACTCTGCACACCAGTGTAGTCGAACAGATCTTCACCGAAGTAGAAAAACCGAACATCGATCTTTTCGCCCTCGGTGGAGAATGCCGAACTGCCAGTGTTCTACACCAGATTTTACCACCCCCAAGCCTGGGAAACGAACGCTCTTCAAATCAACTGCGAATGAATGTTGGCCTACGCCTTTCCTCCAATATCCCTAATACCGGTAGTCTTCTCCAAGATTAAAAGGGAATGCTGCCGTGTCCTTCTCATTGCCCCCCTTCTGGCCATGCGAGCCGTGGCTCCCGCGTCTGACCAGACTTCTAGTCTGGGTACCGGTGATCCTTCTCAACAGACCGGATCTGCTACATCAAATGGAGTCAGGCATGCTTCACCTTTATCCGACGTAACTACACCTGACCTGTTGGCTGTTGTCAAGCAGTCCTTCAGATCAGCAGGACTTCCTGATGAAGGTGCTGAAATGGCCCCCTACTAGCAGTTAGTACCTCACAGCGTGGCAGTGAATTGAAGGTATTGTCCATCACAGATGACCACATCCGATGGAAACCTCATGGTGTTCGTCTCATCCCAACGCTTGGGTTTCCCACCAAGAACCAGTCAGTTTCCTTCCATCCTCCTGACATTTTTGTACCAGACATTACCAAACACACTGGAATTCCCGACGACAAACCATGGTGCCCAGTGTGGGCTCTTAAATGGTACTTAGCCAAAACCAGAGAACTCAGAGGTACAACTTTGCAGCTTTTCATCACCATAGTAAAACCTCACCGAGCTGCGACCAGAGACACTATAGCCAGATGGACAGTTTCAGCTATCAAGTTTGCCAACCCAGATTGGCCGGACTCTGTGGACAATAAAACACTACACTTCATCAGGGCTCATGATATTCGAGCAGTTTCCACATCCACATCGTGGGCCTACTTCAGGGGCGTACCAATGGAGGAAATATGCAGGGCAGCATGCTGGAAGACCCCATCTACTTTCACCACATGCTATCTCGCAATGTTCTACAAAAGGACTCCGCACATGGCAGTGCAGTCTTAACATCGGCCACATGGATGCAGAAGGGTCCCTCATCAAAGCAGCCCACCACTGCAACGACATAACTCCATTATTTGGTGAGTCTGTAATAAAGTTGGGACAATTTCATACCCCTCTGGCACTCTTATTATGTAGTGCATCCTCACTGCACCCCCTTCAAGGGCTTGGTGCTACTCTGCATATTTAACGACTGTTTGGGGTAGGTTGAAAGCAGAAGACTCCTCCCCCACAGAAATGTGGGTGAGGTCTGCTATTGAATACCTACCCCAAACAGTCGGCTCCCACCCATCCTTCCCCACTTTTGGCTTGGATGGTTTTAATACCGGAAAAGAGGGACGAACATGGCAGCCATTCCGCTATGCATCATGGGACTAGAGGGTGCACTACGGTTGATCAGAAGTTTTAGCGAATTGAATCAGACGCAAAGGAATTTGAGACTGTTTTGGGTAGGTATTCAATATCAGACCTCACCCACATTTCTGTGGGGGAGGAATTTAGTGATAAGCTGAATGTTTGACTCAATCTCACTTCAAGAAATAGCACATTGATTTTATCCCATTGTACAATTGCTATGTGATTGTTCGTATTTCTGGAATATGACTAGGATTGTCTCCTCAGTTAACAACTGAAGGCTGCCATAGTGGAACAGCTCAGAGCTGTATTCTTTATCCAGTTGACTCCCTCAACTTCTCCAGTCATCTCTGATGTCTAAACTGAGCATGGGCATATTCACACAGTCCTCATCAGTTACAATAAACAATGACCACTGTGCTCATGTGCGGTTAATCTGTAGGCATGTACAACAGCAATGGTCCTTGAATTTCACTCATAAACAATCATTATTTGAATGATATACAAGGGGGATCTTCAAGACAACATCCTTCTTGTAAATGGTTACAGTTAGGGCTTTGCCTCAGAACTGGAAACCTGAGCAGTTGACCGTTAGTATTTAGGAACTAGTTCCGAATTACGGGAATGGAACCTGCAAGCTATAATGTACATTGAAAAAAGGAATTTTTTTTAGTTTTATTACTTTTTCAGTGTCCCATGTCAACACCACTGACACAAAAATTGCATGACCGGCCTATTGAATGGAATTTTTGTTATCGCATGGAAAAGAAAAAATGGTTAATTTTTTTTGAAAAACAGAAGCGCTTGATTTTTTTGTTTTCTAGGGATGATCTTGGTAATGTGCCCTACCTGACCAAGTGTCTGAAGGAGAGCCTGCGTGTACATTCTCCCGTCCCCAATATCATGCGAACATTGACCCAACCTTTGACCTTTCCGGATGGCAGGACGTTGCCAAAAGGTGAGTGTTAGCAGTACTCACAGTTTGTCCCATTCCTGCAGGCTTGCCCATGTTGTACTTGGAAATGTCTGTAGTGTTGTTCTCATCTTGTCAACAAATTAAATTGACAGATGCATCCAAATGAAGCACTGCATTTACTCTTTCATGTGCAATGACAAACAAAATATGCAAATGCATGGAACCAATTCATATTGCAGCTAAGTGCTGATGTAGAGAATGTGCCAGTTGTGTATTAAATACACTTTGCTGCACTGTAAAAACTTGGGTGTTAAAATCAACACTTTTGGATGTTATCAAATGACCACACCATAGGGTGTAACTTTAACACTGATAATGTTACTTTGCACACCTATAAGTGTTACAGTGCACTGGAAGGTGTTACAAGTAACAACAAATAACACCAAAATTTTAACACCAGTGAAAAGTGTTTGTGAAATCTTCTGATAACACTGCAGGTGTTAAATTTAACACCCTGGTTTTTGCAGTGCGAAATTTTAATTAGCCTGGGAGAATTTTTGACTTAGAATAAATACTTTGTGTTGTGCACTGGATTATTAGGAGAAATGTCTCAGATGTGAACTCTCTTGTAACTTGCTTGCCTTGTCGAATTTCAGTTTGTATTCTTCTTGTCAAAAGGGTCAATGATAATTTATTTTAATAAATAGATTTGAATAATTTTCAATAATGGGACAGTCTAGATTTATTTGTTTCTTTTAATCATGACTTGTCAGGAAGCTCAGTAGCTGTCGTAATTGGTGAGCTTCACAACAACCCACATGTGTGGGACGACCCCGAGACCTTTGACCCTGAGAGGTTTTCACCAGAGCGGGCCAAGAACATTCCGCACTTTGCGTATGTGCCCTTCTCGGCCGGACCAAGGTGAGAGAGGATAGTCCACCTTGCCTAGTTACATAAATGACACTTTGTCTCAGCCAGTTAGCGCCACAGGACATGTAAACCAGTCATGATTTCCTGTACCAGTTACAAGGAGGTACATGTAGTTCAAACACTTCTTGTCCTTTTTCTCCCACAATAATAAATATTTCAAGCTGAATTTTTCATGATTGCATGACTCGTTCCTCATCATTTTACAACAGGTAACCCTGACCCCCAAATGCCTCTGCAACGTTTTTTTTTGGGGGGGGAGACCCTGTTCAGACGTGTGACTCCACACAATATGTCCTCTTTCCCTTCATTATGAGGACTTCCTTATTTTTGGAAGGTCCACACTACGTATGTAATGCTACTTCATGCAGACTCCAAGCAGTCCTTGGAGATTGAAAGTGTGGAGCCCTATCAATTGTCTGTGTGCCATGGCCAGACATTGTAGCAGAGGCGTGTTTTGGCAACCCTTAACCAGAAACATGTTTGTGGTGTCACAGCAATAACCAGGAACATGTTTGTGATTTCACAGCAATAACCAGGAACATCTTTAGGCCAAGAAAAAAACTTCTGCTTGCAATTACATGTCTCTCAAAATTAAGGTCGGTAGGTTGAAAAAAGAAATTGTTCTGAGTGAATGGCATAAATGGGGACATAAGCTACCCAAAATTGCCACCAAAACTGATAAAAACTTGCCTTAATCTATGTGTTTTCACTTCCTAGACAGCAAAATACAAATGGAACTCTTCAAAATAACTGCAAATGTCAGTAGAAAACATAGAAATACAAGCCTTTTCATGTGAAAAGGTTGTTCAGGGGGTGTTTTGTGTAGACAGAAAAAAAAGCAGAATTTTGTTTGTAATTTGTTTTTCTAACTTGCTGATAAACATTTTGGGTTGCACCGAAAAATTTGGGTCAGTTGGTAAAACGAAAAAACAACTACTTTCTTGGCTTAAAGGTAGCCCACAAAAAATAGTAAACAAAAATGGTTATTCCATCTGACAGAGGCAAGCACAAGGAAGCAGAGGACGCTGAACATGAATTTCATTCAGTATTTAACATTTTCCTCACCAGTGCTGCTCTCTTTACACATACGTTCAAGAAGAAAATATATCTTTGATTCGCTGCATGTTACACAAATTTTTTAAAAGTATAATTCAGTCAATTGAGGGGCTACAAAAAGTTTCTGTTTATTTTCCGCCATTTTGAACTGGCGCTGAACCAATTCACCCTTTGGTTCTCAATCGTTCAGAACAATGATGTCACAGAGGCATAAAAAAGTCAAACTTATGCAATGACCAAATCTAAAACAAGTTCATGAATTGGGCCAGAAGTCTGACTATGCAAATGTGACTGCTGTTGTGTAGAACAGCCAATGAGGAACAACTGAGGTTTTGCAGACATTTTCTGAGGCTGCATTTTTTCTTAGCACCATTATGTTACAGAACGTGTTGTTCCGGTTCCTAATTTTTGGGTGGAATTTTTTTCCTTCGCTAACGCGCGTTTAGGTGTTATTCCTCAATCACCTTGTTTGTTTATTTGTTCTGACTCTTATGAACAGTAAGATTGTTCCTTTTTCATTTTATTTCTGGATATTTTACCATTTCCTTTCTAGTCTTACGCAGGTGGCAGACTGACCTTGTATTGGCTTATTTTCATAGTTCGCCAGGTGGCACTCTTGTTTTTGGATAAATATATTGCCGTTGCTTGACTATACTCTATGATTCACCCCAGTTGTGGCATTCTTGTTAATAATTTGATTAGTTATTTTGAAAGCAGTTGTTTCGTTGTTTTTGGATATTTTGCTTGTTGATTTTTCATATCTCTGGGTATTTCTGCATTTTCGGTTTCTTGATTTTTGTAATGTTTGCTTGTCAATGTTGCATAATTGCTGGGTATTTTGGCATCTCTGGTTTTTCCGATTTCTCTTTGTGTATTCTGTGTATTAAATGATCAAGAGCCTCAGGGAAATTTGAGTTCGTCTTCACCCCGCTTCGAGATATTTGGTTGCTTGTGGACCAGGGATCGCTTAATTAGTTAGGACAGTGGTGCATTGGTTTCAGTCCTTCTTAAGCTAGGGAATAGGACAGTGCGTGGTTAACTATTCCCTGCCGTCTGCCATTTCGGGGTACGGCCGTATGATACCCTTTTTTGCTCCAGTACTCTACTGTACAGCACACAAGTTCGCTCTTCAAGCATCGAGTGATATTCGCCAACTCATAGCAGTGGTACTGGTGTGGTATCTAGCACTTATGCCATGCACATAGGCCCTGAGATCCGGTATCTCTGGTCCGATTCTGCTCCACTACTGCTTTTGGGAGCAAAGTTGAGTCTGCCACTCAAGGGGGCCACTCGGGTGACTCAAAACTCGGCACACAGAATTAGAGCATCACTGGCCCCGACGCTCCTCTAATTCCCATTTGTGGGGCCGCTCGGGCAGGTCAAAGCTCGGCACACTGTAACAGACCCTTGTGCTGCAATAGTGCAGAGATTTCTCTGGTGAGCGAGTCTCACTCTACGGGCCTCTTCAAGCATTCGGCAATGTGTCTGGCCCGCTTCTGCTCCTCCTCCTGATTACGCCCCTTATGTAGGCAGCGTGGGCATGACTCAGCACCCTGCAGTCGGCTCGGCTCCCCGGTATTGGTTCACCGTTACCTGTAGGGGTTTTCCGGTGAGCAGCTCTGGGTGTGACTTGGCACCCTGCAGTCGGCTTGGCTCCCTGGTGTTAGTTCGCCCTTGCCTGGAGGAGTTTCCCGGGGAGCACGTCTCACCCTACAGGCCACTTAGAGTGTTCGGCCCTCTTCCGCTCCTTTAGATTGAAGCGTGTGTGAATGCACCCCATACGCAGGCAGCTTGGGGCATGACTCGACGCCCTGCAGTCAGCTCGGCTCCCCATTGTTGGTTCGCCATTACCTGCAGTGGTTTTCCGGTGAGCATGCCTCATGCTCCCCAACAGAGGGAGCTTGTTTGAGTCGTCCCTTATGTTGACTAATAGGGACGGGTCCCTACAGCAATGATCTGCCGCGTGAGAGAACACTGTTTGGCCATTGCTCGCGGCTTCTTCAACCTAGTGCAGCGCTGTACCTTGCACATGGTTGCTGCCAAGTCCTAACCACTTGCGGTGGCCATGGAACTTTAACTCCCCACCATATCCCACAATGCCCTTGTCTTTACTCCTTGGATCCAGCGATTCACTAGACATCTCTCTCCCACAAGTCGAGTGATTTTGATCTGTTTTGATGGAGACATGCAACACACATGGGACTTCACCGCTGTTGGATGTATGGTTACTGGTCGTCCCACTGCAGTAACCACTGGTCGTTTCCCGGCTGATGACCCCTAGACTGGCAACATCCCTGAGCAAAATGCTCCCTCGAGCCACATCAATAACAGTGATCACACAGGTCACCGTTTCCCCATTGCTGGCAGTCGGGACAGCCTCTCTTTTTGTCTGGTTATTTTGCAGTCGTCGGCAATTGCTTTGCTGCTTCTGGTCCTGCTACTGTTGTTGGGCTCGGGACTGACATGGGTGGAGATTATTCTGCTGTCTTTTGAGGTCAGCAATCTCAGCAATGCCTGCCTTTAATTCAGCAAGGTCTGTCATCAGAGTGCGTAGCTTGGGTTTCCTCTTGTCCATTTTGTCCGATGGGCTTTGTTCCACGACTTTGACGGAGATGGGTTTTGGCTGGGCTAACTTCTCTCGGCGTTCGGGCTCATGACTTGCTGCCGTGTTCAGCTTCTCAAGGGGATTTCATCTGTGGTCATAGGGTTTTCAAGAAAGGGTCGTGTCTCACTCCTCACTGTATCATTTCTCAGACCCATTAGCACAGCATGTCAAAACATGCTCTGAACTCGTATTTCAAGCCAGACCCGTTCTCTTGGCTCGCAAAGACCACCTTCTGTCGTAGGTCAAAAGCTCGCACCAAGAAACTCTGCGCTGATTCTTTGTGGTCTTGAGCTAGACGCAAGGTTGGTGGAAGAGCTTGGTAGCGTCTTTTTCTTGGTAGTGTGATCGAAGTAGATGCCTGAGACACGGTAGTGTCAGGTTCGTCCTCCCTTCAGATAGTTGCGGAGAATAATAGAGAATTGTAGAGAGCCTTGTTGGGAAACCCATGCCCTATTCACCTCCTGTTACCTCGATGATGTTTGCGGGGGGCCATACACATAGACTGAGTGTACGCTGGACGGCACTGCAGTAGCTCCATTCCAGACTATCCTCTACCCTTGCAGGAGGAGGCACTCAAGCAGGTACTATACTGGTAGTGAGTCCTCGCTTTCCCACCATCCGTTGGTTCGGTGCTATTCTGAATAGCTATAGGTAATCTGTGTAGGATGCAGGCAGTAGACTCTCCCCTATCTAATGTGGGTTGAGTCAACTACTACATACCTACCAGATCACCAATCTCCCTCCCTTCTCCCCACACGGCCTCAGCACACTTCTCGCATTGAAAAAGAGGACGAACATGGCTGGCACCTTCGTGGGGGGGCGAGTGATGGGGGCGCACTATTGGTGATCGAGAATTTAGCGAATGGAAGTGATGGACTAAGAAATAATGCGTAGGTATTGGTAATCTGGTAGGTATACAGTAGTAGACTCAACCCACATGAGCTGGAGGAGAGATCATCAGTGGATCTGATTTCCTATGTTGGGATATTATGAACATCTGGACCTGTTGAGTGGGTTGTACAATTTTGCAACTCATGGAGGAGGCTCTTGGTGTAGAGGCTGAAAAGTGTAGGTGACAGTGGACAGCTTACCATACCCCCACTGGAGTTTCAAAGATATCAGTCATCTGTCCTTCCCACAGCAGCTGGCCATTTTAGGAGTTGTAGCGATCTTCGAGTAGCTGCATCACATCCTCTTCCGCACCAAAATGCTGTAGTTTAGTGAGGAGTACTGCTTGATTGACATCAAATGGTTTTTGTAGTCAACAAAGACTAGTTTAGAGGGCATTTCCCTGCAAGGTGTGTTTCTGCAACACCTTCCAGAAGGTAGAAACAATCCTGTTTCCTTTACATATTTTTTTCATTTCTCGCTAGGAATTGTATTGGTCAGCACTTTGCCATGAATGAGTTGAAGATCATATCTGCCATGGTCCTTCGCAACTTTCACCTGTCCGTTGATGAGTCCATTCCAGTGCAGCGAATCCATGCGCTGGTTCTGCGAGGCAGAAATGGCATTCATCTACACATCACACCCCGCCAACCTTAAACCAAATTCCTCTTCCAGAGACTTCCCTTCCGTGACTGCCATCCATGCAGATGAGAATGGAACAGTTTTGATGACATAAAAATTGGTGTAGTTTGCCTAATCATTTGAATTTTCTGCTGTCTAAAAGTTACGTAGTTTTCCATTCTGAGACAAGGTCATATTTTCCATTCATTCATTTCTTAAATACTGAAGTTATAGCCTCAGCTTTATTCATGGAAACAATTACAGTGGTATTTTACTGATAGATTTATGAGTGAATTGTTCTTGCATAAGAGTGAAGTGGAATGTGTCGTCACAACTTTTTAAAATTTAACTACTTTTAGTTTTGTTTTGTTTTGATTTTCCTGAGGAGGTAAAATTTGACGTTGACTGCATTCACAAGGGGGGAAGGACACTCCAATCGAATGAGTTAAACAAAACAAACTTAGGTTCATTGTGGAAGCTTAATTGACAGAATGCCTCCTAACTAGGTGTAAGATCTAGTATGTAGCAAAGTCCCCACTTGAAACTATGGGCAATGTTTTCTTCGTGTCCCGAACTTTATAATTCTTTAATCCCGTACTGTCCATGGCACACGGCTGTCACCTCGCTCAAAGTCACTTGCACAGGCACACCTAGAAGAGCAGAGCACAAAAAAGACCCAAGGAAAGCACTACTGATGAGACACTAATTGACAGCACTATACTAATGAAAGAGAAGACCCTGCGTATGCCATGCCACACCATGTAGTTATATACCCACAGCAAGGAAACCAACTAACTATGCATTTACCACCTACTCAAGCTAACAGTGATTTGATTTCAAGGGAAAGAAGCTTGTATTTCAGATTTAAACAATTTAATCATGTATTATTTGAGGTTAACTGCTATGTTACCCCGGACTAACAATCCACACTAAAGATAGGGCTGTGCTATTGTCTTATAAATAAAAAATGGTACATTCAAAGCAGTTTAACCAACACAAAATCAATGCAATTTAATTCATTTAATGTACCGACTGATTAAAGTGATGATGATTGTGTGAGGTTCACTAAGGTCTATACTCTGAAAATTTGGGCTAGAGTTCAAAACAATTAAACCAAACATAGTATTAAATCATGATTATGACTTCTATGTCATAATTGTTGCATGTATTAAGTCATAATTATAACTTTTATCTCGTATACATGTACATGTACTGAGTTAAGTCAGAAGCCTGTATGTTATCATTGTGACACCAAGCTGTCATGTGCACTTGCACATTGCATTGCATTTGTCTGTAAAATTTCATGTGCTTTCACAATAAAAGTCATAATTGTGAGATATGTCATGAATATGAGGTAATACTTAGTCACACTTTGGACATACTGTAAGTCATAATTACGACTTTGCAGGTTTGAAAAAAATCATTGGCCCCATAATCTTTTCTAGCTTGTTTAGCAGCTTCTTAACTTTTAAGCAAACTTGAAAACTCTTGTTCACACTCATTCAGTTTGATTGTAGAGGCGCAACATTCCTTTGAAGCTTCAGTTCACCACTTTTAGGGCACAGTGAGATTTGTTAAAGCAGAATCTGGGTCTTTGAAAACTGAATTAGTTCTGCCATGACAAGAGGTGTTTCTACAAAGAACAGTAGGACCATCGTGAACTCACTTTTTAAGGTTATGTTATATGCAGGTTTATTTGAAAAAAATCTTCCCAAATTACAGACTCAATATGGAAAGAGTTTCATGCATGCGCATTTCTTTTCCAGACGTGTATAAACCTTGCAGTTAGGCCTACACAGTCGTCACTTGAGACATGTACAACGATATACAAACCTTACTTTGTATGACGATGAGGCTGGTCTTTTGACATGCAAGTCATAATTATGACTTTGCCCATTTAAAAAATCATTGGCTGTTTAATCTTTTCTAGCTTGTTAACAGCTTCTTAGCTTGTTGAAAACTTGTATCACGTTGGAACAAACTTTTCTTTTTCGCTTCCTGATTGCTGATAAAACAGTGTAGGGGAAAGTTAGTGATGTCCATCCATTTTTGGAAGTCTTTCCATCCATTTGCTTTTGTGATCATAGGGAACAAGAAATTATGAAACTGGACCGGAAATCTGTCTTGTGAATACAAATTCACAGTAGCAATGTAAGCATTGAAGATCTGTTGCCGTAAAATATTCGGGGTCCCCCAAAACACCCATATTCAGTAGCTAATATTCTGGTTTAAAAACACATATGTGTACCAGTTCATGGTCCAGTGTCAACCATCTCTGCTGCCTTAATGCAAGTACCACTGGGAAGGGGATTTTGCAAAGGACCAGTGACTGGAGCACTTTTTCATGGGGGAAATGATGATGGCCATTCAACCTGGGTTTTACAAAACCCTTCGAAGTAACACCCAGCTTTTTTTAATTTTTCAGGAGAAGTTTATTAGCAAGACGTGCTAGAAAATTGTTGTAGTCCGCTACAGAATTCTTTCTTTAATGTGATCGTGCCATCAAAGTTCAAGAGGAAAGTAAACAAGTGCTGAACAAAAGTAACAATTCCTTCACATGTGTTCCCAAAGGCCATCAGGCCTGCTGATGTCTGTTGACAAACCACTCTGCGTACTCCGTTTGAAGATTGTACAACATGGTTATAATAATGGAAATATAGCGGAAAGTATAGCTTTGTGTGTGATTATTGAACAAGTGATTTTTCAAGGCGTTAAGAGTGGTCAGATTGTTGTGATACTAATCACAACAAATTTAACATATTCATACAAACAACAGTGTGCTCATTGGGTTGACAAATATACAGGTGTACATATGTACATGAAGGTTTGGGGAGGAGCAACATAGGGAGTCTTCTGCTTTCAACCTACCCCAAACAGTCACTAAATATGCAAATTCCTTTGTGTCTGATTCAATTCGCTAAAGTTTTGCCACGCTTCAGTGCGTAGGATATCCAACACTCAGTTCCCCAATTTAACACTGAAGCATGGCAGTCAATGGTTGTGCAGAGTGGTGCTACAATCAGGGTTGAAATTTCCCAGGTTCCGGCGCAGACTACAGCTTATTTCCTGCTCCAGCCCCTGGCCACTGAATAAGACATGACAACATTCCTCCTTCCTCTGATCAACTCCAGATGAAACAGGATACATCCTCTGAAGATGAGGATATGTCCTCGGCAACCAACCTTAACCTTTCTGGAAAACGGCTCCATCTTGTTTAGAAAGACATGATCCACATAATTTTATTAGGACTGCCCTCTGATCAATCTAAGGCTGAGGCCTCTTCACATGCTTCCTTCAAGTGCCACCCCGCTAGGTTGGAGGCATCAATGCCAATTTTCCCAGAACTTCCACTTGACCACTCATGCGCCGAGATGTTAAAAATTTTCACTAGTACCAAACAATGCATCCATACCCCCAGAACTTATTTCCAGTTTGCTATGGAGGACTTTGACAACTTCCTCTCCATCCCTGAGATTCCGACTGAGGCTCAAGATAAACTCTCTTCCAAAACTCGAAAGCCTACAGGAAAATCTCCATTTAAAGACAAGGACAAGTGTTTCGTCGAGGCTACTCTTGTTAAACTCAACAAAGCCTCAAGACATGGTCTTTGCTGCACCGCATTTATGGCACTCCTCTCTGAGTATTTGGCCGGAGTGTGTGACGAAGATTCACCACTTACTCTGGACTTGGCAGCTGTCACACATCGAGCGATCGATGAGAACATCAACTCCATCTTCGAGCAGTTCGTTAGAATATCTGTTTTAGCCACTCCTGCACGCAGATCCAACACCTTTGATGCCATGAATATTCTCTATGAAGGACCTTTTCGCAGGGAAGTTCATGGAGATGATGGAGTCAGAAGTTAAGCACATTGACACAACACATAAACTTAGCTTCCATGAACCTCCACCACCGGCTCTGCCTCACCAATCCAGTCCTGATGACTGCCGGGCTCGACCCTTCAGACATCCACGTCAGGGCAATTTTCGTTCCTTTTGCCCCTTTCGTCAACTCAGCTACAAGATGAATCGTGGCCATCTATTCTCCTCTCGACCTGCCAAACCACCCCAGAGGAGCAGCAAGAGAAGAACTACCGAGTTGCACTACCCCTGACCTCCCGGGGGTAGATGTCGCTGACTATGCACCTGACCTGTTGGCTGTTGTCAAACAGTCCTTCAGATCAGCAGGACTTTCTGATGAAGCTGCTGAAATGGCTTCAAAGAGTTAACGCCAGTCTACACGCAGCATCTACGACTCCAGATTCTTGAGTGTCCTCAACTAAGAGACAAATCCCTCCACGGGACTTGTCAGCTGTTTTCCAACTGCTTCCTGCTCACCCCTTTGAGCCTCTCAGCGATGCATCGTTGATAAACCTATCAGTGAAGCTGGCATTACTACTAGCAGTTAATACTACCTCACAGCATGGCAGTGAACTGAAAGCAATGTCCATCACAGATGGCCACATTTGATGGGAACCCCATGGTGTTCGTCTCTTCTCAACGCTTGGGTTTCTCACCTAGTGCCAGTCAGTTTCTTTCCATCCTCCTGACATCTTTGTGCCCGACATTACCAAACACACTGGGACTCCCGACGACAAACCATGGTGCCCTGTGCACACTTAGCCAAACCAAGAACTCAGAGGTACAACTTTGCAGCTTTTCATCATACATACATCATAAAGCAAAACCTCACCGAGCTGCAACCAGAGACTCTATAGCTAGATGGACAGTTTCGGCTATCAAGTTTGCCAACCCAGACTGGCTGAACTCTGTGGACAAAACAATACACCTCAACAGAGGTCATGATATCCAAGCACGTTCCACATCATGGGCCTACTTCAGGGGCGTACTGATGGAGGAAATATGCAAGGCAGCATCCTGGAAGACCCCATCTACTTTCACCATATGCTTCCTCACCGATGTTCTGCAAAAGGACTCCACAAATGGCAGAAGGACTCCGCACATGGCAGAGTGGTCCTAGCATTGGCCACCTCGATGCAGAAGGGCTCCTTATCAAAGCGGTTCACCACAGGAATGACATAACTCCATTATTTGGTGAGTCCACAATAAAGTTTGGACAATTTCATACTCCTCTGACGCACATGTTATGTAGTGCGTCCTCACCGCACCCCCCTTCAAGGGCTCAGTGCTACTCTGCTCATTTAGCGACTGTTTGGGGTAGGTTGAAAACAGAAAACTCTTCCCCCTCAGAAATATGGGTGAGGTCTGCTGCTGAATACCTACCCCAAACAGTCGACTCCCTCCCATCCTTCCCCACTTTTGGCTTGGATGGTTTTAATACTGGAAAAGAAGGACGAACATGGCGGCCAGCCATTCCACTATGCATCATGGGAATAGAGGGCGCACTGTGGTTGATCAGATGCAAAGGAATTCACATATTTAGTGACTGTTGGGGGTAGGTATTCAATAGCAGACCTCTCCCACATTTCTGTGCGGGAGGAAGTATTCTGAAAACAAGAGATGCGTTTTTTATTACAAAAAAGAAACCCTCAAAAGAAAGGTGGTATATTACTGCGACGTGAACTAATGGTGTCTTGTCCTAATCAGCAACACCAAAGAGGAGACACAACTCACGGGTTTACGACACAAAAAACTTCTTCTCTAATCCACTGAAAATCTGGCTTACAACTGTCTGCACTGTGGCCCTGTGGATCCGCCAGTGACTAAGGCTATTCTAGTGGCAACAAAAGCTATATTAACAGTCCATTACAGTACCAGTTCTAAAGAGTTGACAGTTTTAATTAGCCTTAACAGAGATTGGCAACATATCCCATCTCCCCCCCCCCAGGTTTGGCCACACTGAGCAAGCTATCTAGCCTCATCAGTTATATTCTCAAACCTTCAATTTGTAGCCATATCAGGGTGGTCTGCCTCTTTAATGTGTCAATTGCCAGTTTGTGGTTGTTGTGGTATCAGGAACTTTGGAATTGTAAGGAGCTACTGCTTACTGAGCCAAGTGATCCCTGTAATGGGTTTATTGTACGATACATTTTTTGAAAATCCTTGTGGCTTTTTTTTATCATCATCATCATCCTTTTTTTTTTCAAGCCATAGCCCAACGGGTGTGTGCAAGGGGCTTCCTATGCTGTATCCAGAATACACAAGGCAAATCTCCTTACAGCTTATGTTTTTATTACACATTTGTCTTGGGGATACTACATGTACACCATTCACTTTCCAAAAGGAAAAAGGCTTTGCCAGTCTTGAGAGGTCACTAGTCTTTATGCCTCATTGAAGCTTCCGCTGTTGTTGAAATGTCAGACTTCAAGCAAATTTCCCTTAAAAAAAATTTTCAGAGCCACAATTATAGCATTCATTCAAGTTTCCCCTCCTAACTGTATTGTGTAAAAATCAAACGAAAAAAAAAAGAAAAAAAAGTGTCTCTGGGCCACATTCCTGGAGCTCACCATGCCATGTCCATGATGACCATGTAACAACAAATAACTTCATTTGGGGCATGCACTTGTTATTTCAATTTAGTGATAATTCTCTATCCAATGAAAATTGAAACAGTTTAACTTGCATGTGCATGCAATCAATGAATTCAACTTCCTACCTTTCAAACAGCTGTTTAGGTTCTTTGCTTCTTTGGAATTTTTTCTAGTTCTAAACTTGATGAAACTGGACAAAGACTGTGTGTGGTTTCATATTTCAAAAGTTGTAGATATTTGATCAATTATGCATTGAGCTTGTTCCAGGGAAAGCAACTTCACTCAATCTTGTACTTTTCAGTCAGTTTGCTATAAGGCTTTATCATTTTGTCTCTGTAAGCTTAACCATACATTAATGGCTTTGCACTTTTCAGGATGCTGTTTGTTGATTGATTATTAGAATGGTTTCAATGTAAAACAACAGAGCCCTATTCAGTTCAGTCTCCTCATTTTATTGGCCTCCTTGACTATTTTTTGTGTGAAATAATGTTAAATGGCATGAACAAATATGTCACATTTTGATTGCAGTTGTAATCCCACTGTACAAAGGAAAAGGGTCATTCCATGAGGTTGGGGCACAATTTGTAACAGTGCCCTTGTTGCGTGGGTAACTTTTACCACCTGTCATAACCAGTAGAGTAGGTCATTTTCTCTGTAAAAATAACACACACCTCTGTATTCAGCCTTGCAAGATGTATAATTTGGAATCCATATGCAGGGAAATAAAAGGCAATTTTATTGGAACCCACGTAACAATGAACACTGGCACAAATTGCTCATGGAATGACCCGAAAAGCTGAAGTCTTAATTGAGGTTGTATTGGCAATGCATCATTATTTACTTAATGTATTGATTTTGAAAAGATAATATTCCAAGCTTGTACCGTATTTGATATCCAAACAATATCAAGTATTAAAATTGAGAGCAAATAATGTTACTTTGGCTTTTTTTACAGGGGAAACTTGCTTAAAAGTACAGTTTGTAAGAGGGCCTTGGGCTTAGCCTTTCTCATGAGGGTTTAGCCTTGGGCTTCGCCTTAAGGCTTGATGGTCAAAGCCTTGGCCTTGAGGGTCAGAGCCTTGGCCCTAACCTTGGTGTGAGGACCGAAGCCTTTACTCCAACACTGGGTCCATTACAGAATTCTTTTTTAATGTGATCATGCAATATTTGATGTCTGAGAACAATAATAATAAGGAAGTGCATAATACAATGAAGTCTGTATGCGCTGGAGAGAGTGAGCAGGTGTGTTTTAAGTTAAGTTTAAATTGTTCCAAGGAGGGGCAGATTTTTGTGTGCTGATGGAGATATTTCCATAGTTTTGGTGCAGCAATTTGGAAGGCATGTTGACCATATGCTTTGGTAAGAACTGAATGTAGAGTGAGAAGATCTTTGCTGCTTGAACGAAGAGTCCATGGCAGATGATATTTGCTGGTTAACTCTTGGAGATTAACTGGGGCCCTTTCATGTATGCATTTGTAAATAAAGACTACAATTTTAAAAGTTATCTGGAATTTAACTGGTAGCCCATGAAGCTGTTGTAAAACTGGAGAGAAAGGTTCATGTGTGTTCTATCGATTATCCCAGCTGCCGAGTTTTGTATTATTAGAAGTTTGTTGAGTTGAGGATCTGGTAATCTATTGAGAAGGCTATTGCAGTTGTCCATGCGACTTTTCATAAACACATGGATCAATTTGTCTGTTGTAGGTTGATCCAAAAATTGTCTTTTTGTCTTATTTTGTGTAAACCGATAGAACGAAGCATAGCATGTATTATTGATGTGGTCTCCCATGGTAGATGTTGATTGTTTCTGAAACGGGATGATTGGCCTATGTGAAACATTTGTGTCTTTTCCTCATTCAGTTTCAATCCATTTGCCAATGGCCATGCGTTGATGTCATTCAAGCAAGCTTCTATAAGTTTGCAATGACATTGGGGTGATCACTTTCCAGAATCGCATTATAATTGGGTGTTATCTGCATAAGTGGCGTGATGTCCTCCAGTGGTGAAGAATGTAAGTTGAATATAGTGGGTCCTAATGCCGATCTGTGAGGGATGCCTCGTTTAAAAGAAAAATAGAATAGAATGTCATATCCAATTGTATCAAAGGCTGCTTACTAATCCCAAAACAGCAAGACCACTTCTCGACCACAGTCCAGTGCAAGCACTAAGAGATCATAGCAAATACGAAACAAGACAGTTTCACAACTATGATGTCTGCGATAAGCTGACTGCATCTATGGCATCATGGCATTGAAATCATTTGCCGATAGGTAGTCATGTATCCGACAGCTGCATAAATATCAAGTACCAAAGAAATACTGACAGTTTTGGTAGCAGTGCATGATAACAGTCACGGCCAGAACTTTGTATCCTCAAAATGTGTCTCCACAGTTCAGTGTGTTGCCAAAGGTCATCAGGCATTCGGTCGTCTTTTTACAAGCTCCGGAGTTACACTTTAACCTAGTTAACGGCATGAACCTTTAACCACGAACCATATAAAGGGGCACACCACCCTGGTTGCTCTATAACAGACTTTAACTTTTGTTCTGTAGGAGATGGTTATATGTGAAAAGATCCGTAAAAAGTAGCTGGGCCATTTTACCAACCAGAGGAAACCTAATCACCTTCCCCTCAGACGGGTGGTAGTACCACTTCTATAGTGTTGAAAATTTTAATTCCTCTCCCAACAAATGGCAACATGTACCCTCCCTCCACCACTCCCCCCCCTTTCCCTCCATCAGACTACTTTTGCACCATGGATTGAAAATTTGAGAGCTCCTGGCAGCATTTTTCAAAAGGCATTTTTATTAATTTTTTTTTAAATTTGTTGATAACAAACTTTTGCCGGTTCAATGGCTTTGAAAGCATACAGGCAGTGGACGGCAAACTCAAATTTTCTCGGTCTTGGCCCAGAGTCTTGATCGTAGGTCAGGACCTGGGAGTTGGCAGCTGTAGTATAAATAGGCTTATGAGTGCAGACAGTGCTTCAGACAAAGCGAGTAAAACACAGCTCCCCAGTGTTGACGCACTTTATCATTTTGGCAGCAGATTGGTTGCAGCTTCATTCACTACACGTAGGTATTCAGTATGCGTTTCATATGTAACTTTTCAGGATTAGTGAACATAAGTGAACTTTCCAAATTTTATTTGAAATCTCGTCTGATTGAACATCTTTTGGATTGATAATTATGCAAATGATTTTATAAGTCTTTGAGTCTCATAGTTTGAGGTAGAAGGGAAATGTCATCATTTTTAACTTTGCCGTCGTTGGGAAACAGTTTAGGTGTCTGAATTTTTCTGATTTCTGAAGTGAACCTCACTTGGCACCCTGCTTCCACTCGTAAGTTCTAAACATTCCTCCATTTGGATGGTGCAATTATCTATCACAGATTAGGAAGTTGACTTTATGAATGCCTGGAATGTTACTTCAAGAAGCGGGAACATTCACCAGTTAGAAGGACTGACTGTTTCAAAAAAAGTGGCCAAACCATTGCTTATTAACTGCTTACAGATGAAGTATTTTGGCCAAGAGATTTGTATTATTGAATAAGATGACACACTCAAACACCATGATGAAGGTAAAAGACGTGAATTTAATTGTGTTTACGCATGCTTGTAACAATTGTACATGTATGTGGACAGTATTTAAGTGTAGCATTGACAAAAATTTGTTGAGAACCACAGTGTCATAGTCAAACTGTCAGCAGTGGGCTTCTTTTTGGCAATGCTTCTTAAGCCTGAAATTGATTTTCTATTCTTGTTTCAGGCTCACGCAGATCAGTTGTGTGTTTAGACTGCTGATTTCTGTAGAACGATGGCCTTCACTGAATCTTTTGCAGCTCTTTCTGCAACGGTTGCCACACTTTGCATCACATCCAGCATTGTGGCCTTGGTAGTCCTCTTCATCCAGAAATGGAAGCTGGAGAGACAGTTTGCGGCATTTCCGTCAGACCCCGAAAGGCACTGGTTCATGGGCAGTCTTTCTAAGGTATTATCGGCAGTGTTGGTGTGCATGCGTATCTTTCATAAAGTGCACATGATGTCATCAATTATTACGGACGACCTCTGTTGGAATTCTGTTTTGTGTTGATGATTTTTATAATGGGTTTACCATTGTAATATTTTGGTAGGCTTTGTGTATGGTACTTATTGCTTTGCGAGTATGGACACCAAATTTGAAATGTGTGATATTGTGGGTTCATTAAGAGATATGCCTAAGAATACTTGGTATACTTTGTCTGTGGGAAAAAATTTTTATACAAGCAAGTTCTCTTTACAACAATTGGTCAAGGTTACTTTTTTGTGTGTGCAATGAGTTTTTCTAAAAGATATCTTGAGTAACTTCAACTTACTTTAAAAAATCTTGTTCCCAAGAAGCCGCAACTATTAAAATGACAGTTCAATTACTCCTTGTGACAACTTATGTTCTATCCACAATTGTGTACCAATAATTACAAAGCAGGCATGTGTGATGCCACCTCTGTGACAGATGCAACTGGCACTGTTGTTTGTTATGTTTTGTAAATTGTTGTCTTTGTCATACATAGCTCACTGCTGATGAGAAGGAAGTCCAGTGGGGAAAGGATATTGTGAAGAGATGTGTCACTGCATCTGTACTATGGCTGGGACCTATTAAGCCAATCGTCAGTGTGTACCACCCTGACACAGTCAAAGCTGTTGTCAGCACAGGAGGTTGGTTGTATCTTTGTCATCAGATGCTAGGCCTGATTAGTTGAATATGTGTCATTGTGGGACACAACAAACTGAAAAATCATGCTCGCATTTCATACGCAGAATGCATTGGTTCTTGGTGCAATGGCTTGAAGAGATAGTGATACAACTATGGATCATTTTTGCCTTAAAAGGCTGAGTCACACTTTGGGCGAGTGTGAAAAGCCAAGCAAGTTTGACATTAAGAACCATCTCCATCATACAGGGAATATGCAGCACTCGTGTGTGATGGGACATCACCATTTCACGTTTGTGTTTGCTTTAGTGCCAAGTATAAACCCACCTTAAACTCATTCTTAAACAAATCACCCAGCTGATATACAGAATGGGCAGAATTGGAAGTCATCAAGTCATGACCCTTATTTCTTCTGTCTATTCATTTGCACATTTGGACACTTCTGCACATGTGTTCATTTTTGTAAATGAGCACAGAGCTGAACCCTCTCATTTACAAAAGTCAGTGTTCATTTTTGAATCGGTTTGTTTTTTATATTTATCTTAGAACCAAAGGCGGAAGATACATACTCTTATATACGCCCCTGGATTGGAGACGGGCTGCTCTTATCAGCTGGGAAGAAATGGGCAAGGAACAGACGCTTACTGACACCCGGCTTCCACTTTGACATTTTGAAGCCATATGTGGACATCTTTCAACAGTCTGGCAACATACTTGTGGTGAGTTGGCCACCATATTCAACCACTTTGCACCAGTGGAGGTGTGAGCCTGCTACAAAGTAACTGGGATTGTTTATAACACATTATTGTGAATTGTCTCCATATAAGCACTGGATGAAATGCACACACCATCATATTTTGGCAGTTTCACTGGTTTAATATTTTTGGGTTATATGACATGCACAGAATTTTAACACACAGTTACTTGAGCGTAGATCACAATCCCATTATTACCAGTTAAGCGATAATAAGCAACTTTCTCTTGCCAGGCTGTGAAACACAGTAAATATTTGATAGCCCTCTTGTTCACAGATACACAAATCGTAAATGTGAACTTTTATCAAGCAGATTTTTTAGCAAGGTTTCATGAACATGTTCCTTTTAATTTTATTTTACATTCTCATCTCAGTTTATAGTTAATTTTCAATGCTGATTGAACGTTCGATTTTTAACGCTGGATACATGTGTATGTGCTTATTATGCTGGAACTATGAACAACCAGGCTTAACACATCATAAACCCTGTCTGGTCATTGTGAGTTTTTATCTAACTGGATTTTAAGCAATATTATGTGTTTTAAATAGGTGTGTGTCTGTGTTTGTGTTTTTCTGTTTGTCTATGTCCCAGTCTTTTGAAGTGGTATGTTTTACCAAATGGTTGGGAGGGAGGGTTAATGTAGTTGTGTTGTGTCTTTTTCTGTGAATGCCCTTTCTGGTTCAGCTGGGGCTTTCTTTCCCTTGTACAAATTGTAACTACTTTTTTTAGTAATATGTTATTTTGTATGTCTTATTAATTTTTGTAAATAAGAGCGCCATTTGGCTACGAGGTTTCTTATCTTAAATGAACCAACAATAATAATAAATAATTTACTTTGTGTATGCAAGACAGTCAAAATATATGATATGTTTTTATGTGCCTAATAGGATTAATATCAATTTTGTCTCTTTTCAACTATTTTTTCCCTTTGGCTTTAATGAACACAGGAGAAGTGGAAAGCAGCCTGTGGTGGTAAGAAGACTTCAATGGAGATGTTCAGTAACATGAGCCTGTTGACATTGGACAGCCTCCTCAGGTGTATATTCAGTGTGGAGACCAACTGCCAAACGTAAGTGGTCTTGAACAGACAAGCAGCAAGAATATTATACTCGGAACACAATGAGACAGTCAGCGCCAACAGCTGCTCCATAGGTTCTGCTCATTTGAAGAGATATCTCTGAATTGCAATAGCACAATCGGTGCTGTGTGCCATAGACAATGACTGAAACTGTTTTTGCCTAAGTCAGAATCCAAACCTGGACCACAGGGTGAGGTTCAGTACCCCCTTGTCACCTGAAACGTTTTGTTGTATTTCATGTTTCAGGGTTGAAAATCACCCTTACATCAAGGGCATCTATGACATCTCCATCCTGGCTATGCAACGTTTTCGCTTCCTACCTTTCCACTTTGACACAATCTTCCAGTGGAGTCCCAGTGGGCGACGCTTCCGCAAAGCTTGCGATACACTCCATAACTACGCACGGGATATCATCCAGAAGCGAAAGAGTGCACTGAAAGAAGAGGCTGCTAATAGGCAAACAAGACACAGGAAATACATTGACTTCTTAGACATTCTGCTTTGCGCTAAAGTAAGCAAGACAGATCTTTTGGCACAGGATACAGGATTGGTGTTGGATGGCCCCATTTTGTAAAGAAGTTGATCGATGCAGAAACAAGGGGAAGGAACTTCAAGCTAAAATCTTGCACCTCAATATTATTATTATTGACTGACTGACACCTGCCATTATTACTTATCACAGACAGCCACTTATAGTCCATCTGCCTTGGCCTCAACCCTCCTCGCCTCTTGCAATTCATTTGGGTCCACTGATACACATGTGAAGTCCTTCCTTTCGGTTCAGCCATAAGCCAGCTTACTTGCACAGAACATGTTCAAGCTAGCACAACATTAATTACCGGTATACTGCAGTAGGTTCTTGATTAACAATGGCTATGTGGACTAAGTTCTTTTCCCACTCCTTTGATTTTTCTACTCCAATAAATTTCTTTACTGCTGTAATTATTATCATGTAAACACCTGGCCAGTTTCTTTATCTGCTCCAATTTTAAGCACTCCCTCACAAGTGCAGAAGAAGACAAGCAGGTAGAAAGTAATATCCAACTGTGATTTTTCACTTGTATGGGGCATATGCACAGACCATTCACTCCAACAGAAATTGGCTACACATGCTCAGTGTGGCTCCCACCACATACTCAGAATTCTGTACATGGATGCAGTG